ATATATCCGTTATTTGCTTTCGAAATTTTTATTACACGTAATCAGAATTCTACTTTAGCATTGCTTGTTCTTTTTCTTTTCAAGATCGCTGTAAAAGCTCCACCCCTAATCCCTTGTCGAGGTTGTTGTTTTTCCCAAGCCTTGGTAATAGGGGTGGGCCCTGACGCATCTGCCATTGTATTCTCATCCCTTCACTCACAACTAGTCAACCGCGGTTGAGGCGATTTTACCATGCGAAAAGACCCTCGTAACGGAAAGCAGCCCCTCGCCCACCCCTCCCGCTACCCCGCGCTCGAACGTAAGCCCCACCCCTTTTCTCCTACCTTTTCCAGCGCAGACGAGGAGGCCTCCGAGGACGACACGCGGAAGGGCTTCCCCGAGGCCACACGTGAGGCGGAGGATCCGGAGCTCTTCCCGGAGGTCCTGTCCCGTCTGTGGGGGGTGGTCGCGCTGTTGTTTTTCCCCAAACCCGCGACCCGCACGGTAAGCCCTCAGTCGTGGGGGGGGCGGCTACTTGCTTACCCCATGGCGATTTTCCAAACGCCGTGGCGGTGGCGCGTGTTGATGGTCCTCTCCTGGATCGCTGCTATTTGGGTGAATTGGCGAGATTCCTTGGCCCATATGGGGATCAGCCCCATCGTTATCGAGACCTTCACGACGACCGCGCGATTTATGATCTTTTCCTGGGAATCGAAGTTTTGGCATCCTCTTACTCATAGCAACGGGGATAGCGGCGGTGAGGTCGGGGGGGGGGAAACGGTAATTCAGGCGGAGGTCCACATGGCGCCCTCGCGCAGGATTCGCCCGCGAACTTGCCCACCACTCGGAGGGCGAAAGGCATGTCGGGAATGGTGAACACTTCCTCGCTCCCGATTCTCATCCAACCCTCAAGATCCATCGCCATTGGTGCTGCCAATTTGAGCGCCCGGATTAACCGCACGTCCAGATTTAACTATCTCTCATTTTTCTCACACACGGCATTTTGTTATGAGATGGGGGCCTACTTTATTGTGGCGTTTTTTTTCTTTGATTCTCCTTTTCTACGACGGTCAGTGTTAGCACTTTTCTTCGCCAATACGATGCAATGGGCAAACTTTACAAGCATGATAACGGTGTTAGTCACAATTGCACTTTCGGCAACATTGATGCTCTCCAGAAAAAAAACAGAGATCAACCAGAGCTTAGTTATCTACCCTGTTCGGTATAATTACGCTCAGCATGCTTATTTTTCATATAGCTTTGCACTCTTGCTCACTAGTTTGTTTTCAAATAGTTTTTGGTTTCTAGGGTACCGTTCAAAGCTCGTAGAGCTTATTAGTATTTTTTTGCGGTGGATCCAACGCGTGCAATATTTTGTGTTGAATAATGTATCTGAAAAATCGTCCTCGCGCCCAACATCACGGGGGCAGAATTGTTTTGATTTATACTTTGTTTTATTTCTCGCTTTATGGTACACTATTGTGATGTGTGAATGGAGCCTTGACATGCAATTGTTTGCAATATTTTATTTTATCTTGGTTGCACCCACGATCGTCACTCGTTTTTTTCGGAACAATATTGGTTCAGGCCTGAATATTGAATTACTTTTCTATCTGAGTACTATTCTGTGGCTACGTCTGATGGTTCCATTCAACGAAATTCAGATATTGTCTCGAATGATGCGGACGGCGCTGATTATACTTCTTATGGTTTACAAAAACAGCGATAAAATGCATCACACCTTATCATCAGAATTTTACATCTGTTTATCTACACTGCTGACAGGGATTGAGTTCTTATACTTTCCTCGTACCAAACAGATCGACCAAAACGGTATGGATGTTTCTGATCAGAGACATGGCTTAATTCCACATAAATTCAGGACATATACTCCGAAATTTCTTAGCAGCTATAAACTTTCACTAAGTTATGAAGCTTTTTTGGATGAAAACCTCGTTGCGTTGGGTTTTGTGTGTCTCCTAACACTCGCGTTCCGAAAGAATGACTCAGGGAAAGGGCGAAAGGATCGTAACCCAAAACCGGACACCACCCAACATTTTGAAAACATCAATGATAAAGGAGTAAAGACATTCCTGGGGAGACTTTGGGGGTTTGTGTACTTCTTAAAGACAGGTCGTACACACAAGGGCTCCCAAGGTGTGATTTCAGTCTCTACGCTGTTGCCTTCAATCCCATGCAAACCCAATCATGTGGAGTGGAACAACCGAAAATGTGCAGCGGTTTTCAGGTCACTATCTAAAGGTGATGGGGAGAGGGCTTTTAATACCACTGGCCTGTCCCCCTCGAATTGCACGGCTTCACCGATAAGCGGGAAGGCGAAAACGGAGGATGACTTCGCGTGTTCGAGTCCTTCATTGAGTGAAGAAGGAACCCTCCATAGCATCCATAATGAGAAGCGCCCACACATCTCAATGGTTGTCCACAGCGCTGTTAGAGAAATCACCGCTAAGTTCATCGATAACACATTGCTGGAAACTTGTCCGGAGATCGAGCAGGTCTCGATGTCAAACTCTTACCGACGTGCCTCCGCAGATGAAGTGCTCAATACAGATGATCCTCATACCTTTGAAGGATTTGAAAACGGCTTCGTGTTCGCTAATACTACAGAAATCGATTCGAACGTCTCAGTAGGGGACTTTCTTGCCTCTAAATCACTATCTATTTTTCATAAAGTATTACCGAAAGGGAAAAAGGATCAGGATCAAGATGAATTGAAATCTGTGGCATGCGATAATTTGGATTCTACCACATCAACTTCATCCCTGAAGACGAAGGAGTCTGATTTCATTAACTCAGAGAAAAGTACAACAATAAATATCCAAGAGACTTTGGGCTGCGGTTGTGATAGCAAAACGTTGGTTGAATACCAAGATGAAAAGAATGAGGAGTTGAAATCAACTAGCCTGGATCACAAAAGAAGAGATTCATTGCAGCAATCGACTGAGATGGACAAACAGACGTCTTTAGACGATATCATCACTTCTTTGTCACAGTTTAGTCACCAAACAACAGAATATATTGAATCGCATCTAAAGACTGATGAAGATTTAGCAGATCATTCTGAGGATATTCAGCGTCCTGCAGAGGCTGCGTTGAAAGACAACGTGGATGTCGAATCGGTTTCGGAACCGTTTGCGCGCGTATTATCCAGGATTCATTCATCTCAGAGTGTCGAATCTACACAATTTCTCAATAGTTATCCAGGCACTCTGAGCGGCTATTCACAGAAAGATTCTGAAGAAATTAAGAAAAAAATAAGGAGGCTCATACTGTCATAATTAGTGATCGTGGAAATAAGTCGGGCGCAAAGAAGGGGAAAAAATTAGAAGTTGGTGATCAGCGACAACCACAACCGTCTCAACAAAAGCAGCATAAGGATCAGGAGCAAAGGAAATTACAGTGTATGGATTCAAAGTTGAATGAAAAAGCGAGACAGATAAGAGAGCAGGACAAAAGACAACTACAAAACGTGGCTCCTAATGTAGAAACTGATCCCCCGAAACCATTACCACCTGGTTCGAAGCTCAAGGTCACGGGTTCACCTAGCAAACTGATTGAACGCAGTCAAATCGCCTCCTCCTCTGGGGTCAACACAAACTCATCTTCTCTCCAGACGGGCCAACATGCCACAAACCCTAAACCCAACAGCGGGTCATGCGGCGTCTATTCTCGACCCATTAGTGAGAAGCCCAAGGCTAGTTCCACTGATGTTGTCGCCGATTCTGTAGAAACAAACATGATGGCCATTCTGACGGGAGGTGAGAAGCCGGTCCCAACATCCCCACAAAATCAGATGTCAAACCAGTTTCGCTTCACCAGCAAATTCAACGCAAAACCTATTTGTCCTGATGAGTCCCTCATGGCGAAATCTCTTCCACAGAAACAACAAGGCAGCGATTCCATACAAAAAGCAGCTACCCATTCCATCTCAGATAGCGTAGATCCGTTGGGTTATGTTCATAATAACACCATGCCATTCTCATTGTCAGGGTTACAGTCCGCTGTATCTGTTGTGGGTAGTAATCAACAAAATTTACAGACGATTCCGGTTTTACCAACATCTGTGAAGTCAAATAATTGCGCTACAGCCACAACGACCGAGAATACCTCGAATTACATCCCTCTTTCTTTTCCTGTGTCCGAAACACAATTTACCGCGCAGGTAAATGAGCATCAGTGGGGATCCCCAGGTAGTCTGCATGTTACTGTCTTGGAGGGAACCTGCAAAAAAAACGATCGAAATTTCAATTCCTCGGATCAGGTAACTCCCGTTAAACTAAACGAGCATAGCACTAAAGATATTGGTCAGCCCGCGTGCGCAAAGCATGCTTCACCAGACCCTGACTTTGATATGAGCTTCGACAACGAAGAAGGGCTTGCTGAGCTATTGTCCGCAGTCGCGAAAATGAATCCTAAGGAGACTTTTGAATCCAAAGAAGTGTGTTTGCCTGTTGATTCTTTTCCCTTTTTCACCAACCCAAACTACCCATTTTCGTTGGAGTCGGGTGAGCCGCAAAAACAGTCTTTTGTCGGAGCGATCGCAGAGAGTGTAGCCCCAACGGAGGCCTATCCCACCCTGGACGCGCCCCAAAATGCGAACTTTAGGAACCCCGACAACTGCCCACTCGTCCCCACTACGTGGCCGGTTCTGAGTTCCGCGAACACGCGGCCCGCAGTGGTCGGGGTGGGCCCCACAGAGGAATCCCCAGGCACCCGCCACAGCGATCCCTATGGCTGTCCGGGCAGCCTCCCGGCCTCACACCACCCGCTCTCCTTATACGAGGCCACGTCGCTGAATCCACATTTTGGCCTCCCTTCCCACTTCAGACGTTACTCCTCCACGGAGAACCTTCACGGAGGGGAGGGAGGGAGTCTAGGGCCTCCCGGCACTCCTCAGGACGCCTTGCCACAGCTGCGGCACTCGGAGCTGTCACGGAAGGTACCCCCAGGCGGCCAAGGGGGGGGAGGAGGGGGGGGCTTCAACCGTCCGCCAAGGATCTTGCGGCCCGTGTTTGCAGGCGGAGAGATAAACGCACAGGGCTCTATGGCGGCTGTGGGCCCCATCCCAGGCTCATTTCTGCCAAATTCTACCTACCCCAACACGTCCACGCAGCAACCCGCCCTACCACAGCAACAACGGATGCGGCAAATGCAACCCGTGCTTCAGTGTGCGTCGTCAGTGAAACAGCAGGAAATGAACCCCGTACAACTCATTCCAGCACCGTCCGATCAACTCATGGCGGTTCCTTTGTCGGATGGTCGAGTTGGCCTCGTGCGGGTGGTTCACCCAATGCCCACTCAATGCTTCACAGACTCGATGGAGTTGTCCGGGGATGTTTCCAGAATACCTGCATCTGCCCCTTCCTCGGGCATGAATATGATGCCTTTCCCTATGTTTGTAAACGTGCCCGTAGCTCATCAGATGTCGTCTCAGACTGGACCACATTAAACGAAAAGCTGCAACGTAACATGTATTAAGAATATCCGTTCCTTAATATTTCTTTCATACTAATATAACAAACTAGGAAATAACATCTATTGATCTACAATCAAATAAGAAAACTAAAAAACTGGGAAAAAAATGTGAACATGTTTCTTAGGGTAGAAAAAAAATTTTATGTGTTATACGTATATTACTAAGAAGGCTTACAAATTATCAGGGTGTAAATTTTGAAATGCCTAAAGTGGTTTCTCTATTTAAATCTTTTTTGAGTGGCTTTGGCCTAATATAGTTGATACTTTTTGCAGAGTATTATCACCAATTTCTGCAGTAAAAAATTAATCGACCATTTTCCTTCCTTCCCCTCGTTATAGTTTCAGTTTTTCTTGTTATTGTAGGCCATGCTCAAAAGAGGGTAATCTTTTCCAAAAAAAAATCTACTGCTTCCAGATATTAGTCTTAAATGCACATCGATTTTTTTTTGAATAAATTGAATTATTATGAATCGGTTTGCTTATATCTAATACTTGTTGTGTGTATCTCTTTAAACCGAGGCCATTGTCAATTTCTCTGCCTGTAACAGAGCACCAGAGCTAAATATAAATAATAATAATAATAATAATAATAAATAATGTATATAAGTAGGCCTAAAGTTTAGATACTTTCTATTTTTCTTAAAATTTGCGTTGGTAATCTATATCCGTATCAGATCTCGATTGAGTCTTATTAACTATATTTTTACGTAAACCAAGTATACGTTTTACTTGTGTTTGTAGACGTTTGCGTGTTTTCTAATATTGGTCATTCTAAAGCGATGGAACGACAAGATGATTTTAATTAGTCTTTCCTATTTTACTTACTATTAACTCATTAATTGTATAATTTATTAATGAAATGTATAAACACTTAAACCCTTATTATTAGTACAACCGTTATGCTATATTTATAATACATGCATGTCGAGAAAAATAACAGAAAGTTTAGTATATCACTAGATTAATACTTGAAGATAAATGAACACTTGTCCAATAATGCTTTGAAATCTTTTCCTTAACTTCTTGGTCCTTATATATTTCGTGCAAGCAGTTTTATAAATAGATAAATTGTTCGTTCATTCATTATTTTAGAATTTTTTTTCCTTATTTGCTTAACTGAAACAAATAATGCAAATATTTATATGAATAAATATATCTAACCAAATAGAATAAGATCATCTTGGATATGAATATCACGATATCTGAAAATCTTCAAGCCCCAACGATCATTTTTATAGCTGGATGGCCAGACACGTGTGATGTTTTTCGTAATAATATCCAACGTGTTCTAGCAGCTGATTATCGAATTGTTGGTATAACATTACCCGGATTTGATGACGATCACCCATTCTTTCAAAATTGCGCTAGGTCTTTTTCATCTCCATCATGTCGATCAGAACGGGACTACATGGCATCGACAACATCGCATAAAGAAGATACACCATTTTATTCGTACAGCACACAGAGCCCAATCCCGTTGCAAGAGCAAATTTGTACATATCCACACGTCACTACTTCCACATCTAAGGCCTTTTCTAAACTGACTATAAAAGATAAAAGGGATAGGGAATCTCATTCCTTACTAAACGCCCGTTGTGCTCACCCCTCTTCCACACCCCTTTCCAAACGCGTGGAAAGCACCATTCGTGATGCCTCTGTTGAAGATAACTGTTTCAGGGATGGATTAACGACGCTACAAACCACAAAGGTCACCCCTATGCAGACACCACGTTTCGGGTATAGCTTCCAGAATCTCGTAACCTTGTTAGAAATAGCGGTAGATACTGCCATGAAGAATTACAATTATTGTCCAAGCGCTTTAATTCAACCCACATTCAAAGAAGAAAATAGAGCCTTGAGTACGCAAGGTATTCCCCCACATCAGCTACCGCCATACTACACCAAACCAATCCTTGTTGCACACGATTTTGGTTGCTTGCTTTCGTATGAACTCCTTTTAGCACGTCCACAATTATTTTCACGCATGATAGCACTGGATACCGGGTTAAAAATGTCCGATAAGATGCTTGAGCTCATCACGCGCCCTATCTTGTGGCCTCGCTATGTTCCCTCAATAAGTAAAAACGATCCTGGCTACACTTCACTTTGTGAAGCATCATTACAAGAGGCGAATAAAATGGTAAATCAGACCTCCGAAAAGATCGCCAGCTTTGCCCCTCTTGCGGCGCATCGTCTCAATTCTACGCTTGTTTCTCATGAACCTAACCCCAAAGCGAACGGGGAGGTCGGTACTCTCACCCACAGCCTGACTAATGCAGAGGGCAATGACTCTAGTACCGGACCGTTATCCCCATCGGATGGCCTCACTTTGTCCAGCTCGAAGACTAAGGTGTTTACCCCCCCCCGGCACCCCTCCGGTGTTGTATTACCCTCAGGTAGCGTCCGTTTCGGTGAAACTGTAAGCTTGGAATTGCCTTCACTACCTTCCTCTAAGTCCTCGGCTTCGTTGCAAAGAAAAGAAATCCCTAAAAAACGCGAGAACTCCCTTCAACAATGGCTGATGTGGATCATAGTACTCATCAACCAACTCGTGGTGATCATCAGCGGAGTCTTCCTCCCCGTTGTGCTGGCACGTTTGATAATGCGTATATTTCTATATCTCTCTAACCATCCGTGCTATTCATACGATCCGCGATATCAATTTTCGCCAAAAACGGAATCCTTTTTTCAAGGCTGTATCCAGGATCAATACTCACGACATAAGTGGTATGCTGCTGGAGGACAGCATACAATAAAACAACAACTAAAAACAGATAAGACTTCGGTGGGGTCGAAGCTTAAGCGTCAATCTTGGATTCCGTCTTTTCTACATAGCGCCCTGCCCCATTGTCTATGCGATGATACCTCTGATTGCACGTATTCCAACAACTGTTCGCGATTGAACCGTTTCTTCTCTTTCCTTGTCCATAAGAACTCCAGAAAAAATACCACCAATAGTAATTTGAAGACGGCGGGGGTCAAAAGCTCCTGGTGTATTTTTATGGTTCCATGTTTGACGTCCGGTTGCCAAACCCAAGAGCTCCCCACTTCCCCATTGCCTTCTAAGCGAGGCCTGGAGGATACTTTTGCTCCTATTGACCGCTCTACGGACGACATTGTAGACGCGCACATTACAAACACCAATCATATCTGCAATAATGTTTCCTCACTACATGGTCTTACTTCTGGTGCTACAGTCATGAACGGTGCCGATTTGAAACCTTGGACGCTTTTCACAAGCTACGCGCTAGCGAACGTTGAGGATGATGCTTCGCGCTTTGCGTATGATGCACTAAGCGGAGTAAACCCTTATTGTGCATACAGGGATCATTTCTGTGCTGAGGATTTTTACCAAGGCAGCAGAGGCTACTTTAACTTGTGGCGTTTTTCTAATCAAACAATCGGAGCAAACCCTTCAACATCATCTTGTCACTGTTCGCCACCTAACTGCGCTGCAAAGTCTATGGGATCACTAGCTAAGCAAGACATTCACTACAGGTCATATTTTTTTCCCCCGCTTGAACATTCTTTGAAGGAAAATAATGGAAAAAAATGTCTGAGGAAAAGCGCCGAGGGACAGCTCACTTTTACACTAGCCAATACGAAATACCATCCAACCACAAAGATAATGTGGCGGCTGATGCTATTATCGGCATGAGAAACCAACTTGACGTTGTAGCACAAAAAGAAAAAGTGTGTACCCCAAAAGAAATAAGCGTACAAGTAAATCCAAAGACGTTGTGGGTATATTTACGCTATAGAATTTCCATCTTTACTGCATATTTATTTGCACCAAGACGCACACAATTAAATATACCTTCCCAGGCCACGCCTACGTTTGGGAGGTTCGATATAACCGTACTGAAATCAGGTATCCGAAGAAGCATGCCGAAGCTTAGCAATGACGAGGGTACTCGAGACGATTCTGAGCTTGACAGTCTTGCTTACAGAGAGCGAAGAGGATTTTCGCCTTTGATTTCTGAAAGTTTTTTCTTTCCGATCCCAATCCCCATTCTTTTCATGTATGGGGATAACAAGTATGCCATGCAGCACTCACCTCAATGGTGTGAATACATAACATCCGTGAAACGAGTAGAGGATGGTATTTCAAATGTTATCAAGATCGAAGGGGGCGGTCACTGGTTCTTTGCAGAGCCTAACTGCTCCAGAGAAGTCTCCAAACATGTGGTTGATTTTATTAAAGCACCAACGAAGTGAGCCGAAAGTGTCACTTTTAGTCATTACTTTATAAAATAAATTTTTCCGTTCATTTTATCCAGAATTTCTACTTAAACTCGGCATACTAAATGCAAGTCTTTTGTATGCATCATTGTATTAAACATCTAATAGTATATTAATTATTTTTTTCCATTTTTGAGGAGGTGATCAATATTTTTTTATAGGTATGGGTATATCCATAATCTTTTGTTTTTGTGTCTTCTTCCACGATTCCTATGCAAAATTTTCTATTTTTATCACGGACAGTTTTCTGCTTCATCACAGGTCGGAATGGATTTAAGCAACCTAGAATCGAGTGAGGACGTCTTGTTAGGGGACACATGTGTCCCTGTCGTCCCCCCATCGCTTTTGACGCCCGCACCTGCCATCGACTTCGGCTTCCATCCCAAACTTCCGATCCTCGCGGTGGGGATGGTCACTGGTGAGGTGGCCATTTATGAGTATAATGGTAATGATGTGGTGCAAAAGCCACTCGTCAACGACTTTGCGTCGTGGGTTTTCGGGCGAAACAAACTCTACGACGAGTCCAAAGTTGTGGTCAGCGAAACAGACTTCAGCATGCGCATGCACCCTCACGGCGGGATCACCTCGATGGAGTTCACGGACGACGGCTCCTATTTGGTGTCGGCGAGCAGCGATCGGACCGTTTCTGTGCTCGACTGCGTGACCTCCCGCCTCGTAATTCACCTCACCGCGGATTCAACCGACGAGGCAGCGCGAAAAAAACGTTTGAAGCCTCAACACTCAAAAAAATCCTCGGGGATGGCGACGAAAAACGGGAAATCCTCGCCCAAGACCCCTTCCGAGGGCTACAAGTTGACGCCGAACCCTCACAAACACGGCATTTCATCACTTTGTGTGTGTGATGAGAACCTCGTGGCGACAGGGGATGACAACGGGCTGATTGCGGTTTGGGATATGCGAGAGCGGCGGCCGGTCCACGTTTACCACGAACACGGCGATTACGTTTCGCAGCTTGTCTTCTTCACAGATGTACAGGAGCTGCTTTCGAGCAGCGGGGATACCTGCCTTGGCGTCTATGACATGCGCGGCGGCCGCATTCGTGATTATAGTGAGACTCGGAATGATGAAATCAACTGTTTCGCTTTTATTAACAGCAGTGGGTCAAACAGGGATACGTTCACCCCAAGTATTATCTGCGGTACCCCGTCAGGAAGCTTGCCGGTTTGGAAGTATGGTTCCTGGCGCCGCCCGTACGACGTCTTAGATCGTCATCCGCGTGAATGTGAAAGTATCATTAGTTTTAATCGCGAAGATTCAGTGATGGCGAATAATATCGTAATGACCGGCTCCTGCGATGGACTTGTTCGTGTAATCGAAATGTACCCATTGCGGCGGAATCTCTGTCAACTTAGTGCGCGAGATTACACCTACTCACACGCCAACAACATCTCATCGTCTTCTAAAGGAACGGCTAACTCTTATCATAATAGCAATTTCATCGTCAGGAGGCAGCGAGGGCATGAAGGAATCACGCGAATGCAAGTATGTTCTGACAACCAGATGCTGGCGGTAGGAGGCGACGACAATATCATCGACTTTGTTGATATTCGCTTTTTAAACGACGAAAAGTTGCTCGATGCGCTGCGGAGCAAGACGGAGCGGCGGCACATGAGCGCCCTCCGAGGGATCGAGCTCGACGCCGCAGCTGAAGAGGAACGCAAACAACGCGAGGAGGAAACTGGCGATGTCACGGAAGACGACAGCTCATCAAATTTCAGCGACTCCAGTGATAGTGATGCGTCGGATATGGACTCCGAGCTATCGAGTGAAAAGGAGCGGCGGCCGAAAAAGCGCCAAAAACAGCGGGACGACGATGTGAAGGGGAAATCACGGAGTGAGAAACGCGACGCGACTGCTACGGACGACGAAGTGAAATTAGATCCGATGGAGGAACTGCGTTTGTCTAGACAACAAAAGCGAGAGCGCGTTGCGGCCGCCAAGTGGTTAAAGGAGGAAAAGCGAAAGAAAATCAACTTCACATTCGAGAAGCGCCGCCGTCGTGTAGGCGGCTTTTTCAGTGATATGACTAGTAATACTGAATAAACGAGTAAAAGCGTGTAAGCACATCTGTATAACCATTTCTTTTGGCTAATAATTTTGGTTTTAATCACTATATTGTGAAAAAGCGATTGGTCAAATGTTTCATAGTGACAAGAGTGAAGAAGTCGCTTCCATGTTTCCTATAAGAAATGGTTATTCTTCTCTTTTCCACCCTTTTTCAAAATAAATAAATAACAATAACCCCCAATCCATCCTTGTCACGTCCTGAGAGGAACTGCCACTAGCGCGGCCTCGCCACAAAACGGACCACCTCCCCTGATTGCTTCCCCCCCCCGGGCTGCGAAGCGCGGTGATCCCTTGGTGACCGCCTCCATTCCCTGTATTC